AAGAGAGAGAGAATCTTTTTTTTTTTTTTAATTAATTTATTTTAATTTTGAGAAAGAGAGAACACGAATAGGGGAGGGGCAGAGAGACAGAGAGAATCTGGAGCAGGCTCATTGCCGTCAGCACTGAGCCCGATGTGGGGCTCGAACTCACAAACCATGAGATCATGACCTGAGCTGAAATCAAGAGTCAGATGCTCAACCAGCTGAGCCACCTAGGCGCCCCGAGAGAAAGAGAATCTTGAGCAGGCTCCATACTCAGCATGGAGTCCAACTCAGGGCCGAATCCCATGACCCTGGGATTATGATCTGAGCCAAAATCAAGGCTCAGACACTCAATGACTCAGCCATCTAAGCGCCCTTAATCATCTTTATTTCCTGATTTCTTGCAAAGAAGACATTAAAAATAAACAGACTGGATTGATTATATTTTTAAAGTAGAGAAACTAAGAAGGAAATGCCCTTAAATAACCTTTCTTGCTGGGCGGGCAGCCACGGAGCAAAGCTTCTCCCAGGCTTGAGGTCCCTGGAAATTCAAGCCAGCCGCTTGCAACTGAGACACCTGAGTGAACTTTGATGTAAGGCAGCCCTGGGTCAGAATTCTCATTTTGTCACTTCCTGTTGGGGTGACTCTCAGCAAATTTTGACCTCTCTGTACCTCAGTTTCCTCAGCAGGGTTTTCTGGAGATAATAATACAACTTTCTAGAGTGTCATGGGGCTGCCAGAAAACCGTGCACACACAGCGGGGGCCACAGAATGGTAACGGCCACATGTAGCAATGTATTTTGCTTGGCTCATGGCATGTGTTTTCATTGGGTAGGTTACCGGTCTTTTAAAAATCAGAAATTGCACCTAAAAAGTCAGCCTTTCAACTTGCCTGCAAAAATGAAATTAGGCAACGTGAAACTGCATTTCTTTAATAGTAAAGGGTCAGGCCCCATTCCCCAAGGACACCCCGCTTCCTGCTATGTAGCCCATAGCCAGCTTCACTCTGGTATGTCATCGACCTGACCCTGGATGGTGTGTCTGTGGTCGGGGTTTTCTTGAGGCCTGGTGCTGGGACTAGAAGCTTCCGAGACTGGGTACTGATGGTAATGATGGCTTTGGCTCCTTCTGCAGGGTTAA